AGGTTGTCCTTTACTCCAGAAGCCTGTCCTGTTTTCATCGTCATTTTTTATGAGCAGTTTCTCAGACCTCTGCTGTGTTGGCTTCTAGGCCAGAACTGTAGATAGAAGGACCTGAGTCTTTTCAGTTTATAGAGCTGTCCTTTGTATTTTGTCCTTTTTGAGCCTCATTAGAGAGTAGGGAGATATTTAAAGCAAGCAACAACCCCGTTTTATAGATGAGGAAACAAGGCAGAGATGAGGTAACAGAGGCAAAAATGAGGTAAGTGGCTTCCCCAAATCAGAGCCATGGATCGTCATAGAGGATCATTTTGAACAGGAAATGAGTGTTCATGACGTTCAGCAGAGCACAGTCACCCTGCTTTTAATGTTCTGAGTTCACTGAGGGGGAAAGACCAGACACTGACCTTGAGGGGCTGACATTCTAGCTCATGGGGTCTCTTTCTACCACACACTGTTGGGGTGCAGCCGTGGTCCCAGGAAAGATTATCAGAAAAGGATGAATGCAGACTTGCCATGACTCCTCTACACCCCATATTTTAGAGGGGAAACTGGCTGCTGGAGGAAGGGTTGTGTGATACACAGAGAAGCTTGGATGTTTGGAGAATTCTGTGGCTGACAGAGACCGTAGAGCCTTTCTTAGATGTGCAAATGGAAGCCAGGGAGCCTTCATGACCAGCCAGCTGTTTAGTGGCAGAGATGGGACTGACATGGAGCCTCAGGCTTTCTCTTTTCTTTCTTCTCTCTTCTTACCTCTAAGTTTAAATGTGACATGCCTTGTGAGGGTGGATAAGTGCCATCTTTAAAGACGAGGCTTAGTTCCAGGCTCCTCTTTAATCATAACTTTTTTCCAATATTTTTTGTGGTAAAATACACATAAAATGAAATCAATCATCTTAAACCAGTTGTAAGTATGCAGGTCAGTGACATTAAGCGCATTCCCACTGTTGTGCAACCATCACCGCCGTCCGTCCGTCCGTCTCCAGAACTCTTGTCATCTGGCAAAAACGGAACTTTGTACTTGTTAAACACTAACTCCACATTCCTTCCTCCCCCAGCCCAGACAACCAGGATCTACTTCCTCTTCCTCCTCCTCCTTCCTCTTCTTCCTCCTCTTCTTCCTCCTCTTCTTCCTCCTCTTTCCCCTTCCCCTCCTCCTACTCCTCCATGTATTTCTCTAGGGATAATGAATATCTAGTTAATTATTTCTGAAATGTTTTTCTTTTCACTTGCTCTAAAGCCACAGTTCAAGTCCAGGTTTTATTTTATTTTTTAATTCTGTGTTTAAAGCAGATGCCTTCTTAAAATGATTAGATATGTATAGTGTGACCTTTTCTCCACAGTAGCCAGGTTCTCCCATTCTGAGCAATACCCTGGGGTCACAGGGCTTCGCTTTTCTCTGTATTGTTTCTGAAGCACTAACTCTTGGCCTAGCCTTGCAAGTAAACACTCCCACTGACTACCCTCTATTCTCTATTCATCTTTTCTCTTCTTTGCAAAGCCCCCATGTCACTACCCCATCTGTCATGCACTTGATCAGGTGTTAGGCTTCGTGGTGGAATTGGTCCTTTGGCCCAGGGAGCTGCTTAAGTCAGGGGGAGGAGTCCATTGTTTCTCTCAAATAAGACAAAACAGGAGCTCCTATTTGTGTATCTTTTTCCTAATTCTGTATTGGCTCCTCCCCACAGTATTTGTGAGTTTGGCAGGCATTTGTTCACTGCCTTCAAGGAGCTTTGAGTCTGGTGAGGTGAGACAGATAAACATGTAGATGCATTAACCTGTTAGAGGTACAGTCCTAGCAGGGTGCTCAAGACACTTTGGGAATAAGAGGGGGTTAGTCCTACTGGAGGTGGGTGTGGTGTGAAGTGTCAGAAAAGAATTCCTCCAGGCGACTCTTGTGCTGAGCCCTAAGAGTGACTATATTCCTGGCAGGAGGAGCAATCAGGTTTATTTGAACATCAGTCCGTATGTTGAGGGAGGAGACAGGTGGTCTGCTGGAACACGTGGCTACATTAATTTTATTTTACATTTTATCTGTTTGAATAGGTAATGCGTGCACAAGGTACAGTATACTCAAGGACATTAAAAAGGAATACATATGACGAAAAACGAGTTATTTCCCTATTAATTGCTCACTTCTCCACCCTGAAGGCAATTATTAGCTACCGATTTCTTGTGCATCATTCCAGGCAGAGGTTTTCATGGCATGCAAGAGTGTGTGTGTGTGTATCCCCTTTAAAAATACATGCAGCCTCGCAAGTGGCTTTCTTCATGTACTGATTGTGGAAGTCATTTCATATATGAGGACAGACTGGACCTGCCTAGTTCTTTTTAATTTTTTTAGTAGGCTCCACACCCAGCGTGGAGCCCATCACGGGGCTTGAACCCAGGACGCTGAGATCAAGACCTGAGCTGAGATCAAGAGTTGGATGCTTAACCGACTGAGCCACTCAGGCACCTCCTGCCTAACTCTTTTTAGACCAGTACATGGTATTTTGTTAGGTGTGTGTATGACCACTTGTTTAACTTGCCTCACTTCAGTCTTTTGCCAGTACAAAGAATTCAGTGACTATCTTGCATCTATATCATTGCTCATGCGATTTTTGAGGATGGATTCTAGAAGTAGAACTGATAGGTTAGAGAATATGTGACAGATATTGTCAAATTGCCCTCGAAAGAGCTCCACATTAATGATGCTAAATTCAAGATCCTTTACCACTTGATGCCCCCCACTTCCCCTCCTCTAAAATCCTTGCCACAGTGCTCGTCCTAAATGAATTTGGTCTTATAACTCCTCTGTTTATGATCCTCTAAGCTGTACGTGGTTTTCAGGGTAAAGTTTAACCTCCTTGGCCTAGCCCTTAACTCTAGCCTCTGCCAAGCGTGCCGTGCTCCCATTGTTCTGTTCACTTGTATTTGGTACCTTCTTTTTCACTAAACATATGCACTAGCAGTCAGCATCACCTCCTCTGGGGAGTCTCTCTTGGTTATCTTCACTTGTGCACAGAACACCTAAGCACCACTCTGATCCAGCCCCATCCATTCACTATAGAAATATTTGTTGTGCACGTGCTGTAATGTGGCCCAACCAGGTGTTATTCTCAATGTTGCCTTCAGGGGGTGATGACTGCCTGGTACAAATACCTGCTGTGGATGAATCAAAAATGACAGCACCCATTGCTAACTGGACATATTGTTGAACCTCTTCTGACCTTGGGTTTTGGCATCTGCTGAATGAGGAGGTAAAGCCTGATGACCTCTAAGTCTCTGCAGCTCAGCCTTATTACTAATTACAACAGCAACAGCAGGCAGTATTTACTGAGTACTGGCAAAGTGCCAGGAACTGCCAAGTGCTTTGTCTGATCCTAATCCTTACATCAAACCAATGAAGACGTATGGTTACTGCTCCCATTTTACAGATGAGGAAACTGAGGCTAAGAGAGTGATTTGGCCACATGGTCATAATAGAGGACACAGATTGGAATTCTGGCATTCTAACTCTGCTGTCCTTAGCCACATAAATATATACACATTCCACACATTTACACACACACGGTTTTGTGTACTGTTTTGGGTCACTTACAGACTCCACCCCTAGATCTCTTCAAGAACCATCCCTTTTCTACAGCTTTAAAGGCTCAAGTTGGAGTCTGGGTAAAAGCTGTGGACAGAAGACTGCTATAGTCACAGCTATTTAGGGGTAGTAAGGACCCAGTAGCTAGCTCATGCTCATTGAAGGCCCTGCTAGCTGCTTTTCCTTCATGCTGAGGTAGCTCCTGTTGCTGTTTGCAGTAACTCTCTTTAGAAGGGGATGTAGGCCTGAGTCAAGGCTTCAGACATGGATTAAAGGCAGGTCTGTTTAATATCCCTGGCAGAGTCTCAGAGGCATCCTTTATTAGGGTTGTAGATGGCAGGCTCCCTTCTCTATTTACATAAAGCCTTATTAATGGAGAAGGAGGTGTGTATGGAATTTAAAAAGGGAGTATAATCTTATTATTTGGAATACTTGTTATAAACCAGGGTAAATAAAATCAAATGACTGAACTAAAATGTAATAGGGCCCATATCATAATGTATCATCATCAACTCAGCTGCTTCTCTGAAGGCTTGTAGAAAGTAATCCCTTAAAGTCTTAACCCCTGATACATATATTTTTTAAAGACCCTGGTTCCTACTCTTCTGAAGTCATCGTCTGAACTAGAGTGGGTGGGGGTGCTAATTAACAGTCACAGCCCATCCTCTCCCAGTCCTTGTCAGGGACACCCAGCAAGTGTGGCCTCTTGGGGTCACAGGTGTGTCAGGTGAGCCTGGAGTAATTGGTCCATTTTTGAGATTCATGGCTGTGGAGTCAGCATCAGATCCTCAGGGGCTCATCCGGCCTCTGGCAGCTGAGCAAGCCTAGCCGTGGGCCCTTGGCTCCTGCAGCTGCATTCCTTCTCTAGGCGGTGTATTTCTCCCTTTAAGACACGTGTTCTCTATTTTTTTTTCCTTTCGGTCGGTTGAACTTGCTCTGAGTCCAAATGGCAAAGGCAAAGCCTGACTCAGGGGTGTAGCATCTGTGTCAACAGCTGCCTCTCTCTCCTCTTCTCTGTTGGAGGCTGTGGGGGCAGAGCCTGGGCAGTTGCTGAAAGTTCTGCCATGCCTGACAGATTTCCAGGTGAGCTTGTGTTGGTCTCCTCGTCCTGAGAGCGAGGATCTGGCTCCTAGATGCTGACACTGATGGCAGCTTGCTGCAGGCCTCGGCATTTCCCCACATAGGAGTTGAAAAGCCACTTTATGTGCCTGTCCCTTCTGGCAGCAGGAATTCAGTTACTAGCATTTTGTATGTGATTATGGCTTCCTTGCTACAGTGCCTACTTGCAGCTAACTTAGGGCCAAAGTTTTCACTTATGTCCTTGTTTTCTGTTTGTTTTTTTTTTATAGGTAAATCTACCCGTGGCTGACTTTAGAATTCTTCTGGCTTTTAAATTTTTTCTTTTTAAAATAACTTGGACGGATAAAAGATGTGCCATGGCAGGATAACACCAAAGAGCACCTCAGCGTTGGCCGTGGCCTCCGCGGGACATGGAGTGTTCCTTCCACTGGTGATCCTTAGCACCCTCCTTGGAGACGGACTTGCCTCAGGTGGGTCCCCGACTGCCTCTGTGTGGGAGGGAAAAGACTCAGTACCATTGTTTCTCCCAAAGGCTGGGATAGGGCACTGTCCATCTAGCGGGAAGTTGCAGGGAGAGAAGAGGGTGGAGGTGGGCTTTTGTGCCGTGGTATAGCTGGGGGGGGGCAGGCCTGGGGGTGTGGCATTAAGGGGCCTCTTGAGTCACCTGGGAGACGGGTGTGTAGGAAACTGCTGCTGATGATATTACAGCTTTTCCTTTCTTCGGGTAGCTGGAGCTTCAATAGTGAGGATGGAGGATTCAGAATTTAATTTATATTCAGCAGGGTGCAGGTTTTGGAATCAGACTGCCTGTGTTCTGAGTCCAGTCCCATTGCTGGTTTCATGACTCCTGAGCAGATCTCCTCTCTGTGCTGTACAGAATCGATAGTAGCACTCACCTGGGGGGGGGGGGAGGGGGGTGAAGATTGTCTGAGATAACACAGCAAGCACTTAATGATTGTTAGCTTATTGTGTATTTCTTGTCTTTTTATGTTTTTTTCTCAGAATAAGTACAAAGTTGAGGTGTTGTAACTTAATGAAAGCAGGACCTGGTCACTGACACTATAAACTTCGTGATCCTGGACAAGCCACTTAGGCATCTGTGGCTTAGTTTCTCCATTTATCAAATGAGGGGGGTTGACCCGGATACCTTTAAGGTCCTATCCACTTCTCTCAGTTTATACTTTCATAATTCTACGGACTTTTCTGGTTGAAGCTGATGGGCTGCAAGAGCTGTAGCAGTGGCTAGAAATGTAGCCATGAGCTTGATCCTTGTTGGCTTCTGCTGTGCTCTGAAGACCCTTCTTAGGTTCTCTTCATGTGGTCCTCTCGACCTGGCGTCCTTTTTAGAAAGCACATATTTTGATGTGTACCATAGGCCTCTGGGTGACGCTAGAGAACCTGCCTCTGTATCTGCAAGTACCAGTAGGGGTCTCAACTAATTATGAATGAACTCAACAGTAGTGGGGCCCCTACCAGTCTTCATTAGATACATTAATACGGCAGTTTTCTTTGGACAGCATTCCTTGGAGAGGGATCTCAGGTAGATTCTGGAAGGGGACTTGAAGGATGAGAGCAGTGTGGTATAGTGTGGCACATAGAGTCCCCATACAGTGCTCTTTCTCATTCTTTCTTTTGAACACTTGATTATTTTTTCTAAGTTTATTTATTTATTTTGAAAGAGAGAACGTGAGCAGGGCAGGGGCAGATAGAATCCCAAGCAGGTTCTGTGCTGTCCGTGCAGAGCCCATGCGCCATGAGATCATGACCTGAACAGAAATCAAGAGTCAGGTGCTTAATCGACTGAGCCACCCAGGCGCCCCCTCTCATTCTTTTTCTATCAACCCCTGCCACCCGCTTACGTGACACATGAAGGTAATAGTGCAGTCTCATCTAAGCTTTTTCTTCTGAATTGTTGAGAAAAAGTTACCCATTTGTTGTTGCATTATAGTCTTTTCCACCACGCACGTACAGATTTCCTCTTCTGCCTCTTCTTTACTCTGTTCTGACACTTAAACCTTTCCCACAAAGCATAACACCTCTTTGGCTGTGAGGAGCCCCTGGCACAACTAAGGAGGCCACTACTAATGATTGAGACCCCACAACGTAGGCATCATGACTATATATGAGATTTCAAAGGAAAAGAAGGCCAGACTACACCAGTTGTGCAACCAGATGAAGCAGGGCTTACGTTTGCAGGGCATATAAGCCAAAGCCAGAGGAGGCCTCTAGAAGCTGTAGTCACAGAGCCATAGAATATAGAGATCCTGCCTTATTCACCACTGTATCTCCAGAGCAGATGTTGGCAAGTGACAGTCCATGGACTGAATCCTTCCTGCTGCTTTTGTATGGCCTGTGAGCCAAGAATGGTTTTTATATTTTTAAATGATTGGGGAAAAAAATCAAAAGAATAATATTTCATGATACATAAAAATTGTGAGCTCACATTTCAGTGCCTATAAAGTTTTATTGGAACATAACAATGTTTATTCTTTATGAATATAAATATGGCTGTGTTTGTGCTGCAGTGGCAGTGTTGGATGGTTGTGACATAGACTGTTTCACCCCAAAGCCTAGACTTTAAGATATTGGACCCTTTCTAGAAGAGATTTGCCACCCTACCCCTAGACGCAAACAAATAGTGCTCAATAAGTATGTGCATGAATGGAATAACTGTCAGAGCTAGGATTTTAGAGGTCATGCACTTGCCCAAGGTCCTAGGGCCCAGGCTCCAGAAACTGACCTAGTACCTAGTATGCTACCAAGACCACCTTCTTCCAAGGCTCCACTAGGGGAGCTGTCTGGTCATGTGACCTGGCAATTTTAGGGCAGAATGTCTGCCTTTGGTGTCTGAGGCCTCTAACTTCCTTAGCTTCATTAAGCCATTCCGCCTGCTGCCACCCTCCTTTTTATGGGCTCCACCCCTGCCTCCTCCCATTTCCCACCCCATTTTCCAACTACCCACACCTTCCCAACTTTCCACCCAAGGTCTGAATTCAATTATCAGGAACTGATGGTTTCATACTGGCTGGATAAAGGGATTATTATTCTCCAGTGTGGAAAAATGTATGTCTGTAGTGTGGGCTCAGAGCAGGATGGAAAAGTTGGCTCTGTAGCTTTTTTTCCCCTCCCCCATCTGCAAAGAATCCTCCCTTCCCTGCAACCCCCAACCCCCCAAGTCTTTTCTCCTTCCCATAAAACATGTGTACTGGCACAGAGCAGAATGCAGGCAGTGGAAGGGGTTTTACCATTACTTAGATCCAGTGCACCAAGTTGCTGCTGGTTTTTTCCCTCTCTGGAGTGGCTTCTCGGTGAAGAAGGCACGCACTCCTTGGCCTGAAACCCGTAGCACACCTGCATGGCTGTGCCTGCCATAAGCAGCTTGCCAAGAAACCAAAACTCTCAGATACCCTGAAGTTGAGGAAAGGCATGCCAGTTCACAAAAAGTCCCCTCTTCCTCTTCGTGCCTACCTTACCTGCTCCTGTGGCTGCACTTGAACACTTACTCCAGAGGCATTGTAAAATGAGGTGCTTATAAAATACACAGCCTTCGTTACCCAGTGAGTTCTAGTCTTTGTGTGTACATACACACTCGTAACTGTGAGACTCCCACCGGACATACGTAAGTGGGTGTCTTCTGGGGGGCAGTTCATCTGTAGAGTCTCTGGTTACAAATTCCACAGTCACCCTTCGTCTTGGTCATAATTGCTCAGGTCTAGAAGAAAAGAATCATGTAGGAACAGGCACTTGAGAGTTCTGGGGCAGAGTTGTGCCATGATCAAGTTCAGTTTTCCATCTTGGTTTCTCTTATCTACAGTTTGGGATTTGGAGTTATAATGGAGAAGGTGTTAGGGAGGCAGTGGGTCCAGCTTCCCCCTTGGTCATTCCTTAAGTAGATATGGGGAAAATCATTGGAAGTTTCCTTTCGAGGAGTAGCAGAAGGAAGAGTATCTTACCTCTTTACACGTGGTCACACCATGCAGGCAAGAGACCAGAATTGAAAATAAAATTATATGCATAGTACACAGCTTGCCTCTCTTCTTGAACCAGAGAGGAATCAGGGTCTCAGCTGTGCAGCAGCCTTTCCCAGATCTCGCACAACTCCTTCCCTTTACCCAGGATCTTAAGAAACTTGCTTTAGGACCTTAGGCAAATCAGTTGACCTCTTTGTGTCTCCTTTAAAACAGAAATCGAATCCTTAAGGATGTTAGGTTGGTGTTGTGTAGACTAATAAAAATGATTGGAGGGCACCTGGCATATAAAATGTGTGGTGTAATTCCCAAATAATAACAACAACAGGGTTGGTATGTGACCCACTGTTGAGTCATGCTGGGCAGGAGACTTTATGCAGATGACATCCTTTGCTGTCTTTAAAAAAAAAAAAATGAAGATGCAAAGTCATTGTGTTGGGGATAAGGAATTGGGAGGAGGTGTCAAACTTGACCAGTTGAGGAAGTTTGGGTTACTTCTGGAAACCCCTTTGCCTTCCAGAAAGCTCATGTTTCCATAGTCTGATGGTCTCAACCCAGCTGGCTTGCTGACTCATGTAAAAAGCTTTTGATTTTCATTCTCTCCCTTTCCTGAGCATTTGCTGAAAAAACTCAGTATTTTACTTGTTTCTGATTTCTACCCCCCC